TTTTTTTAAACAGATTGTATTATAAAATGCGTTTTTTTCGTGTCAGTCTTACATTAATTGATATTTTTTTCTTACAAAAATCGAAACACGAAACACTTATTATTTTTTTACAGATTGTAATAAAAACAAATGGGAACATCGAACATGCAAATACAATCAGCGCAATTATGTCAAAGAAAACATGTCGACAAAATTCAAATGTTGTTACTATTTGTCACCTTGGAGTAAAGACGACTAGGATCCAAGGATATTTTATCGTCATCTGTTGTGAAGTTGACAACGCGATTTTTGGCGGTAAAATCAAAGCAATGGGACATTTTTTAACGGTGTGTTTTTACTACCGAAGAATGGTCGTCAACGATCATTATCTTCTCGTCGGATCGATTTTGAGTCTCGACTGCATATTATAATATAGGCGCGCGCACATAACATACAAAACAAAACCGTATGCCGCGGCAGCGGCGGAAGACGGCGAATAACATCATATGGGACAAGGTGTGAAGAGTGTAAAGGGTGTGTGCGTGTTTTATTATTATGTAACGTTTATATAAATGTTTATTCGTCTTTATTGTTGGTTGGTTCTTTATTTCATTTTTTTTTTTCAAGAGATTTTGATGAGAAAAAAAAATTAATGTCGAGTTTATATTATTATAATTGTGTAGACGGAGATAATATCACATAAAAAAGAAATAAATAATAATAGTAATAATAATAATAGACCGTCAGTGGCGTGCTGTACACGGATGGTTGGACGTATTGTCGTGGTTTATTGACAAACGTAAAGAAATGAAACAAAAAACACACAAAAAAAAAAAAAAAAACAAAAATAAGTAAAAAAACTGCAGCGGGAGCTCGATCGTAATCGCCGGTGTACTTTCTTTGCGTCACGACCCCCGCGGTACACAGACGCGATCACGCTGATTCCCGAAATATTGCCCGGTGCACAACAACGTGTAATATCGAATTGTTTATTTGTCCGCGTATATAAAATATTATTATACACTGATGTCATTGTATTTTTTCGTCCACCTCAACCCGTTCCGAGCACTCATATAACGCGCGTGTCTGCAGCTCCCTCCCGATCCTTCGTGGTTATTGGTATACACGGGTATTGTAGGTTTAAGTACCTACCTACCTATTACTACCTTTATATACGATATTCGATCCCGGAAATCGTTTCTCGGCTGGTCGAGTCCGCTGATTCAGTCTTTCGCATTGGTGCCTACGTGTCTCCCGCCACAATACGGTTACTGTATTATTATATTACTGTTATTATTATTGTATAGATAGATGCTACCGTGGGCGTTTTCAGACGGAAAGTTTATACAGTGTATATTATGTAAGCACATGACGTGGCCGGCGCTTTCTGTCACCTATTACGCGACAGCTGTATTATATTGTCGAGTGCTTACGGACAGGCGAAGACAACGCGCGACCGGAACTGCACAAACGAAAGTTATTTCTGGAGAAAGCTCTCAAAAAAAGTATATCTGTTTAATATTAATTCTACAGTTGTCGTGTAATTATATACAAAGAACATTTTAATCATTTCTTCCGTTCATGTACGACACTGTTCGTATTACATGATTCTTTTCGAATTCAAACCATTTGTAGACAATATTACTTGTACATTTTTTTATAAGATAATTTTATTTTTTCTCATTATTTCAAAATTTCAAATTTAAATTTATTGTTTATTGTCCATTAAATACGTAACAAACGACCAAAAATGACGAAACTAGGTACTCAGCGCAGAATCGATTTTTAAAAAGCAATACGATATAAAAACAGTTTTTAATATCAACATAATTAGGTATGAAGAAACGTCGGTTTTCTTATGTAGTCTTGCAGCAATCTTGGGCAATTATTTTTATTTTTATTTTTTTTTTGAAAGGCAGGCTATTTAATTTGCTTAGTAAATGAACATATTTTAAAGTTTATGAACAGTTTTAACAGGTGGGTCAAATTTATTTATTGTTGATCACTTTAAATATATTATCAGATAAAAATTAGTTGTAGCTAATTTCTGAACGCGATGCCTCAGTGGAGCAGTCGATCTAGTCGCATAACATTCAACGTATATAAATAAGGAAAAATGGGAATTAATACATATCTAAACAAAAAAAAACAATTTCAATAAATTAAATTTTGAGAACAAAATTATAATATTTTCTATTTTCACAGAGAAAATGCATATATTTTTAGTTTTTTATTCGTTAATCAGGAATTTAGTATAGAAATTATAGAACACCTAAAATATATTCTTCCCTGCGTTTATTGCGTCCCATGCTATATTGGTGTGTAACTAATTGATCACATTCATAGTATCTTCATGTAAATGTATTTTATAATAACTATCATTGACTACTTTATGTATAATCATAAATCTACTATGTCATATTTTTTCTGTAGTGTACATAATATTTTAATATGTAACTTGGTGTTTTGGTCACGGAAGCCAAGTTATATTAAATATGTACAACTATTAATTTTTTAATGATTATCACATGCTTTGATTGATTGATAAGTTGGAAATATAATATGTCTAAATTCTATGATATTGGAAATAATAACGTTAAATTATTATTATCCATAATCCAAATAAGTCAGATGTATTTATATTTGAATTTACGTTAAGAAAATATAAAATAATATTTAGAAAAAAAATCAATATTACAAATTTCTTATTTATTTGTTTGCTAGTACAATGATTGAGACTGAAGTTATAATTTTCATGTCTTAAAACCAAGTATTATTATTTTTATAGTGAATAAATTAAAATAAATATATTAATATATTTAATTCATTTTTATTGTGTATATTTATTTTTTAAATAAATACTTATACTTATTTAAATATGGATAATATTTTATTTTTTATTTTAGTAAGTTTTTACTATAATCAAAATGTATTTATTTTCCGAAAAACTAACTATTTATTCCAGCTTTTTTTTTAATGTTGTTGATAAATTAATTTATCATTTTTGATATTGATTGGTCATTGGTTGGTAACCTAACCTTATCATTTTTTAAGTAAATATCTTCTTTGATCTCTTGGAGATAGATGTAGGGAACCCAAACTTAATTCTAACATATACATTACTTACACAATAATAATAAAATATAATATGGTGTTTAAGTTAATAATTTATCAATATTATTTTTGTTATTTTTTTATTTGTTTATAATTGAGTCTTTACTTCCTGAACTTGTGTTTATTTTTTTTTTTTATTTTACTTTAATTTTTTATTTAAAGTGTTACCCTTATACATATAAATAGATAAATAAAACCCATATTATATTGTAACTAAGCCTTTTGTGATTTCGTTACTTCTTATAAGTACCGTGGTCCAAGACCACCCAGATTTCCATAAAAAAAAAACCAATATAGGTAACCTACTATATGTATAATATATACACCAAGATTAAGTGATGTATTCTATAATAGCAGTTTTAACAATCCGGGTACATAATGATTTACAGTAACGTTACCAATGGCTCTGTTTCTCAGAATGCGTATAATACCATATATAAGTAAAAATAGTGCCTACAAATTACGATATATAAAAATACGCTCAGCTTTTGAATAGCAATATTCGTAGTTTCTCTCATTCTTAAACTCGAATCTCGTGACATGCATATAATAAAATATAGGGTGCATGTATGTACTCACGGTGCTGGAATATCCAGGCCTTATAATAAAATCTTAATTAGAATACAATGAGAAAAACAACGACCCGGAGGGGGCGATAATAAAACATAATTGAGGGTGCTGGTGATTCATTTGATCTGTACTCATTTTTATATTATTATATACGCATGCACGTTTGGCCTTATTAACGGTGTCGTTCACGCGGCACCAAGTTTTAGTCGTCCCTAAAGAAAAAAAATAGTTTCAATTGGTCTGGTTGACCATTTATTTTAATCATGCCTATTTTATACTATATATATTGGTATACTTACTGCATTTGCAGTTATATTATTTATTTTATGGAGTTTTAATTTGTATTCCAGAGAAGCTACAAGATATTACTTAGTAAATTATGTTCTCGACCCTTCCTACATTTTAGGAAAATTAAAAATGTATTTAATTATTACATTGAATTGAAACACCTACTAAATATTAATAAACCTATTCTTTACGCATAATATTATATTATTATTATGATACATAAATTATACATTGTTCGTTAGAATTATATTGGTAAAATAATAAAATAATAATAATTATACTTGTCTGTTAATTTTTCCAAATAATAATCTATTTTTTCATACGTATTTATTCATTACATTATATCTTATATTACAGAATGCATTTTGTATCTTTACGCTATATTTATAATTATCGCAAGAGACTTGAATGACCTCATATATAAGAGAAGAAGGATTTAGATAACTATATTTAAATATATACCACATAGCCTATGTCTGTAGTCTGATAAAAAAAAATATATAGTATTAGGTTTGATTTTTTTTTTTTATTACTGTTCAATGATAATATTTAATGTTATATGTAAATATGTCATAACGGTTTTTGTGTGATTTAATACTTAATAAATATATTATAAATTTTTTAATGATTAACTGACTTTTACGTACTAACATTTATTATTAAAATTATTAAAAATGAAAAAACACAGTTTTACGAAAATAATTATTTATTATTAAATAAATAATAAATACTTATAAATCTATGGCGCACATGCACACACACGAAATAAACCTTACAAACTACCCTACACAAAAAAACCTACTGTTCCTATCAACAGTTAATATCCTTAGTTGTCTAGCTTAAAATAAAATCAATAAAAAATAAATAAATAAATAAATAAGTGCTTTTAGTTGAATAGCATTTACATGTAGTATAAAAAACAACGTTTATTTGTATTTCATTTAATAATTTATTAAGTTATAATTCAATACAATAATAGAAATACAATGATCAATGAATATTAATTGAAGTACAAACTGATTAAAATTGGGCTTGTTTAAACAGTGATATTAGTTCACTAATAAATGAGATCCAAGTATATCCCAAACTGGTAATATTATTGGCTCTTGATTAAATACATCTAAAACATTTTTTGGCAGTAATTTCTTGTCAACAATAACTTCAAAAACATATTCTTTAAACCATTCAGTGGTCATCACTAAATATCCATTCGTGTTCATATTGCTATGTTTACCCCAAGAATTTTCAACACACCACCGTGTAACTTCATTGTTCTGAAATATAGAGTTGTCCATTGTATTATATAGTATTATATTTGTTATTATTATTATTATTGTATTATATTGTATTTTATAATATACATAATGTTGACGTTTAATATTGCAATTTTATTTCATGTTTTTTTTTTTAGCACTTAGTATATAAAATGTATTTAAAAAAAAAAAATTATATTGATGTATATATTTTTACTTCTTCGTGGAATCCAGTCAATACCATTGCGTGCATTGGATATGAATCGTGGTATAAAATTCGTTCACTTTTGGTCATTGGAATTGATGTATCGGTACCAAATATTGATTCTATGTTATGTCTAAATAATATTATAACAGTAATTACTCAGCATATTTCATATAACAGAAATTCATAGTAGATACAGCATACATTTTTAAGTCTTCGAACCCAAGTTCGTTTGAAAATCTTTGCTCCACTGCACAACTGTACCAAACCGGCTCATCAAGTATGGCGATCGATTGCTTGCACGCTTCTAACAGTACTTCAATAGGTTGATTGTTACACGCGATTTTAGAGCCTTCTATAACGTTCCCAACCCAATCCACCGTGTATAATCGACCGAATTCATTACCAGCTCTTGGGTCAGATATCAAAGAGACCTTTGACAGAAAAAGAGATTTTTGCAAGTTATACATTTAAATACTTATTTTGTGAGATGTAAATAATAATTACTTTGTCTTCGAGATGAAAAATCGGCTTGACCATTATGTTGTAGAACTCAAGCGGCGTAATTTTATCATAAAATATAGATTCATTAGAATTTGAGCGATAGTTCCACTTAAAGGTCTGTTTTGGAATGCCCAAACATACTCCAACGATTCTGAACACTATACACATATCCTTTTCAATTTGATCAGAAATATTACTATTCGTATCGTTGTTGGTCACCATATCATGTAAAACAATGGCGAATTCTCGGAGCTATAATGCAAAACACTTACTTAATAATTTAGTAGCGAATGTATTACTTTTTTATGTTTTATAATTTTATGATTTATGGTAAATACAGAGCCGTTCCTTTAATTTTCGTAAACCATATAAAAATATTACTTTATAAATGTGAAATATCAAAATATAATATAATATGCTGGGCCCAGTTTACCCTTCCAATATAACTTGGTTATAATACAAATTAAAAAATAATTCTAACGATCTAAAACACAGTAAATCATTGAAATCAAAGAAACACAAATAACAAGTTGAAAAAATCAGAGAAGTAGCTCTAGTTACATAATAGGTTTTGAGTTATGTTTATCTATATTAAATATTATAGATGTGTTCAATTTGAATTCATTGATAATTCTGAGCAAAGACTTTATTTTTAAGAATATTTAAAAATGTTTTAATATTTCTATTAGTAATTTATTTTATATTAAACGGTAAATTAAACTTATGTTTGCCAAAAACGTCACATAATATACTATAAAATAATCAATTATTATTATAAATTAGGTATAATATAATATATTATTGTAATAGACTTATAAATTATCACAGACACATCGCATGTACATACATATTGCATATATTTTATGTGAATTTAGGTTTGTGGTAAATTTTTTTTTTTTTTAATCAGTACCTACAGATATTTTAAAAATCATATTGTGAATAAAAAAAAAAGCTGCATGTCTTAATAAAATAACAAAAATCATTATTAATTTTCATTACATTTGAACTTTTAAGCAATATTGAGTATGATATACTATATTATTATATTACTAATAGTTATAAATATTAGTTACGTTCAATAAAATAATATATTCAGTGGGTTACCTTTTAACAGTTACATGTTTATGACTGTCATTGTTATTTTAATCATTTAATACTTTATTAAATATTAAATTTTTTTTTTAACTTGCTTTACTATTCAAAATGCAATTAAGCTCTTCACTATTTTCGCTACTATAACTTTCTGGAAAACTAAGTTTTGGCATGAGACCATACTTTTTGATAATATTGACTGCCATATTCCAATAGCCACCGTCTTCAATCGGGTTCTATCAAAAAACCATAGATGTTGTTATAATTATATCATAAGTGTGTATATTCATGGTTTTTATGGAAAAATATACTAAACTTAATTGTGGAATTATTATTAGTTTTTAAAAATAATATTGTTTTATATATGAAAGATAATGTCATAAATACATTTTTATTAGAAATTAATTGCTAAAAAAAGGTATTTTGCACGGTAAGTAAATAAAATTTGTAAAATTGCATGTATAAAACTCTTTAAAAATTGTTATTTTTGAATTTTGTAATTTATTATATTATGAAAACAAAGCGTATATCTACTTGTTAATTATTTCGTTTTATACTTTTAACTGTAGAAATTAATAGATAAATACTTTTTAAAAATAAAATATTATTTGATATTAAAGGTATATTAAATGCAAAAATTAATATAAATATCTTTCTTTTTTTGTATAGTTTGACAAGGCGTTATTTTACGATAGATTTTAAAATTTTTTTACTCACTTTTAGTAGATGCATAACTACTCTGGAGTCTAAAAACTCACCATTTTTTGCTGTTGATACTATAGCGTTCAAAAAATGGTTGCATCGCTCAATCTGAAAAATATGTATATATTTTAATTTTTAAATAATATGAATTTAAAAATCCGTTTTTATATTTAAACTTTTTTTTAATCCGAAAACATAATTTCGAATTGCTAACTTAATCGGGAACTCGCACGATTTATTAGAATAATTTGTATTAAAATTAGGTACCTTATCCCAGAAAAACATGTGAGCTTGGCTGAATTCAAAATGTGTAAAATTATAATGTTTCATAAATGGAACTCGTATTACGTTCAAACAGGCAAAAATCCAACATCGGCCGGAATATCTTTGATCTCCTATCGGATTGCCGCAAATTTTTATCTAATTTAAATAAATATAAATAATGTTGTACTTTATTATTGTATTACTAACTGCCATTTTATACGTTTTTAGTTAATTACTCTCGTAGAAAAATAATGATTAGAAATTATTTGGTCTTGAATTCTATTTCTAGATAATGCAATTTGAAGTGGGTTATATACAGTGCACGTATTTTGAGCCAAAATATTCGATGAATTTGAAAAAAAGGCATCTTTGAATTTTGACAACAATTCGTTTGTAACAAGATCTTTTCAATATGTTAAACATATTTATATTAATAAATGTGTTAAAAAAGTATAGTATTTACTATTTTTATTTTTATTTATTATTGCATGTATTAATATAATAGTCATTTTATCTATACATATGACTATTGACTTTTGAATGTATTGAAATTCAAGAGTTTTAGTCTTTTTTCTAGAGAACACAAACTGCATAGTATGATAATAAAAAATAAATTTTACTCTAATACATAAAATGTATTTTGCACATGTGTTCATTACTTTTGTTTTATAATCATTTTACAATAGTCAATGTATATAATATATATTAAATATTCAAATCGAATCAAAAATATAAAAAAAAAATTATTTTAAAGAATGTGTTGTGGGAAATATATAAATACTAAAATATATTGTTTAGTGTAACTTTATTTAAAAAATTATAATCATTATTTTTTTAAGGTTTTTTAAGGTTATGCAAAGAAGTAGGTATATATAGTAATATTGTATACTCAAATTAGAATGCTAAGAATTTAACTTATAAGCATTAATGATAATTAATTTTTTATAACGATTACTGACATATTATAATATATAGTATTATATTATTGAACTTTTTATTTGAACATAATAAATTCAAGTGGTATTTATGTATAGATTATTATATATATAATCTACATGATATATATTTCCGTATGAAAAATACTATGATAAACTCATTAAACTCACTGTATATTTTTTCACTGTTATTAACTGTAGCTTCTGTTTCCATACAATTTTGTTCTTTAGGACCATTACTTATGGACAGTTTCTTTGTGTACAACAAATATTCCATGACATTCAATAGTATGTACATATGATTCTGTTTGCAAAAGAAATTATTACCGAACTTCAAGCACAACATTCGTTTCAACTGCATTAAAGTTATTTTTCGCTGTTTTTTGATTTTAGTTAATATGAAATTCGTAATTTTACAAAATATGGTACTACGCACTCGTTTGTACGCCATGATAAAATACTTCGGTACAGTATTTGAATGTTATAATAATATACCTACCGTAATATTGTTGTTTGTAAACGATAAATTTATTAGTTTTCATGGATACCTCACATGGTCACATATTATAATAATATTGTTGTAGTAAGTACAAATGACGAATAAATAATATAATTAATATACATTGTGTGGGGCCTAATTTTTTTAACACGCAGATTAAATCGATATTTTTTATACATGCCTCGATATAATTTATACTCACTACTTAATTCAATAAATACAAACACACGTACATATTTATATGGCACACACACGCGTGCACAGCACATGTAAACAATCCATATGGTATGACAGGGGGTGTGACCTATGTATCGTATTTAATTTTGTGAACCCACCAACGTTGCTCGATCATTAATAATTAGTACAAGGGTATATATATATATATATTTAAATAATTACATAGAAGGCGATGATGAGAGGATTAATATTTCAAAAACACCTAATAATACAGATATACAAAGATACTGAAACAAAAACCGCTACTGGCAAGCATTTAATTGTTTATAATCTACATTACGGTTTCATGATATAAAATTATACGAGCTGACCGGATTAAATAACTAAAAAAAGAGGTAAAATTTATAATCTAATACATTCAAGAGGTTTGCTTACATTTTTCATATCTTATTATACGATTCCCCATTTTATCGTTATGACCACGATGTCTAAGTTAATAAATCACTTACATTATAAGTTCCACATCTGTCACTTCACATTCTAAAGGTGAATATTTTTCTGTGAATTAATAAATTATTTGAAATTTAATTTTTAAGTACCAAAATGATTAGAAAAATTCAAAAACATTCTGCTTAGGAATAAAATATAAAACTTTGTTTTAATTATGTAAAAAACTATTTTCAAAAACATTAAAGAAATAGCCAAAACTATTACATACAAAATGTTTTCGTTCCCGGCTATCAAAATCAAGTCATTCAAATCCGTCTAGTAATTGATCTTGACTTTGTTCTCACTATTCAAGGACAGAAAATGATACTAATATTTAAATATTAACTAACACACCATTTCGAAAAAACACATCTAGACTAATCAATTCATTAAGTATCACTATTGGTTGATTTTTTTGTTCAAGCTATATTTGTAGTCTGCACTTCCACTGTACTGTGTACATTATACTCGTAACACAACATTTATAACATTTGGTTATTATTAATTACAAATATTATATTTTTAGATTGCATTTAAGTAAATATATATTATTAAAACAAAAATAAAGATGAGAATAAATCGTTAATACTTTTTAGGATTATGGATCATACCTATTTACTGTTAAAATAAATATATATGTAACATGTATGATAGAGGTAGACTAGACAAAGAATTTTCAACAAATAATATGAATAAAAATATATATATTTATTTATGTAATACTTATTACATAAAAATAAACCGTACTTCCCCATAAATATCTAAGACACATAGTAGGTCATTTTACAATTCAATTTAAACTATTTCCACTTTGAAACAACGGTAGAAATGATGAATTTATTGACATACAGACGTATATATTATAATTTTACTCGGGAACCGAGTGGAACCACAGTCCACAGTCAACGCATGTTAAAGCAATACAACATCACTAATAAAAACGGTTAGGTTAGGTTATATTATTATGGTTAGAGTTTAGTAATGAAACGATAATATGGTTTAAAGTTTGAACCGAAATAATAATATCATGCGGTTTGTAGTTTAATGAGACACATGACACTGAATGGTATGTACCGTATAATACCCAACATCAATAATTCCAGTACTTGTCACATAAATGAATGTCATTGTAATTTATATTATTGACATTTAACTAGTGCGCATTAAAATATTACAAGAAGAACAAGAACAAACTAACTGGGGATAATATTAAATGATATAGTAATAATATACTAAGAACAATATGCAAATATTACCACAAATAATAATGGGTTTTGTAATACTTACACACCTATTTTATTTCACGTTTTATTACTATACAATATAATTATCAACTAAGAATGCTCGTCTCAATTTTATCTTTAAATAATGAATTTATTTAAATGATGATTTTTGAAATTTTTAAATATACTTTAATATTATACTTTTGAATTCTTGAAATATTTTGTTTTATTAATTGTATTCACTGATGTGAATAACATGAAAAAACATACTCTTTTTTCAGCTGTTAAAATACGAGTTTCCACGTTAATTTTGCTAAACGTAGTTTTGAAGTAGATAAACAAAATAGTAAGTCAAAGGGGATGATACAAAAAAGATATGCGGGATAAATCTTCCATAGAAACTATTTCAAATATGTTTTTCTCGTTTATATCAGTTTAGTTATAAAAAGATGTCATACTTTATTCTCAACAAGCTAAATTTTTGATATTTGTTTATGGCTTATGATTTTTTTTTTAAATTATGAGTATTAAATTTATATTCACATGATATTTATGCATTTATTGTGTAAATCATTTTTTCATTTTTAGTTCCTAGTTTTAACAAATATTTATTTATTGTTAAGCTATTAGCTAGAATATCATCAAAATATTACCTATGGTTATAAGAAAAAATGGATATTGAATACTGAAAAATATCATGACATTTCACTAAAATATTTTTTTTAAATATTTTCATCCGTCGTTTTTTAATTTAATATTGATCAATTGTAATATTTAAATAATCATAAATCGTTTATTTTAAGATTGATTAAATGGAAGCACAAAAGTATATTCATTATTTACGACTTTGAAACTGATATAAACACAAATTAAAAAAAAAATAACATAACAAAACAAGGGCGTCTTGTATGCGGGACAATAATCTTATTGGACTTTACCAAGGCCACTGTGGTGAAGAGTAGTAAGGTCAATTGATTAATTCAAGGTTAACATTGGGAACGTCTGATATCAGCTTAAATGCTATGTTAAATCGTGATGAAGAATTTCGTTTATCATGTCGCGAATGGTTTATTTTTTAGCTTTTTCAAACGGCGGTCGACTAAACCGTGTGACCTCATTACACCGTCTTTTTCATTTTTTTCCTATTAGATAAAACTGAAATAAATGAAACTATATACAAAGGTTCAGCTGAAGTGGCAAACGCTCAGAGTTTGAGTAGCATTTTAAATGATAGGGGACATGTTACACACACGACAGGGGTTCGAACAATCGGTAAACATAAAGTAAACCCTTTATACGATTGTCTTTAGGCTCTTGTTATGTATTTTTGGCCATCCGCAATAAATTAACACGTAACAAATAACAAATAAAAAAAAATAGCCTCAGGGAGAATCGCTGTGGCGTAATAGTTCACCCAAACGCTCATATTACGTACATTACCTATACATTGCAGGTTATTAGTTATTACTTGTTATTATTGTTCGTATCAAGAACGATTCCCACTCCAATATAATGCCATTTTTCGGCTATATACTCAGGTACCTACATAATATTTTATAACTGTTTTATTTAATGGTATATAGGTAATATACGTATACATTATGCGTATTAATGCATTAGACTTTAATTTTTCACGGAAAATAAAGTAGAAAGATAAAAATATATGGCTGGATGCGGTGTCCCAAGTGTTTGGTATAAAAATATAAAAAGTCGGGTACTTGTCTATTTAAGTATTTTAGTACTTATGTACCGCAGTTGCCTAAACAAGTAAAATTATAGTGTAAGTACTAAAGTATTAAATAAGTACCTACTTTCTATTATATATCGCATATACTCGTACAATTTTCGTTAGAATTACAACGCAGATAAATTTGCATTTAATGATTATTGATTATAATAGCACCTATAAATATGCTTTAGTAATTCATACCTTTCCAATGTAATCTGATTAGCAGACTTTTTATCTATAGATTTGTATAAATTAATTATTTTAATAATTAAAAATTATAATAATAAAGGATTTGCACTATTAGAAAAGTATAAGACTTTTTATCTAAACTATAAATAAACATTTAAAATTACTCTAAGCTATAAAAGAAAGATTTTTAATAAAACTTATTTTTAATATATTTTATTAATATATACAACAGTAAGTTGGTAGTTACTCGACTACTATGAATTAAAAATAACATAATAAAAATATGAGTACTTTAAGTATTTAAATCAGGGAACTATTTGGCTATTTTTTTACTTATCTAGGAAATTTTGATTGATTTCTAGTCATATTTGTATACCTATCTTGCTTATAAAAATGTTGGTTGTTTTAAAAAAAAACAAAAACTATTATTTATTCAATACGAGACAAATAAATAATAACATTATAATCTTAATATTCCAACTGGAATATTATTGAATGAATATTCGATATCCATGAATCATGATTATAAACACTAATATTAATATTATTAATAGTTTAATAGTTATAATCAATGTCCACACGACTTTTCACTCGTAATACAGCGACGTATTATTTTCAATATTACGTGTTGATTATCATAACAGCGGCATCTATTGGCATAGACTATCTTTTGTGGACGCACAGTTCTATCATTCTGGGTACTATTACGCAGTACAGCAGATTGCAGATCCATCGCAAGGACACGGGAAATAAATATTTCACGTCTACATAAATTAATTTTTAAATACGTTTTAATACCTACGACCGTTCTAATACAATTTATAATACGATTATAAACGGTTTTTTAGCCATTAAAACTCAATCACGTATCTCAATGCCGTCTGTGCGACGTCCTATGCATAAATCAGCTATAAACAAAACGTATAAAATAATATTGATGATTTAGCTTAATATCTGTACACGAATTTTATTGGTATACTTAAATCGTGTTCAGTAAGTAATTCATATTTACGGTACATACCAGAGCTTAAATCATAAAAAATATATATCGTCTTAACGTTTTCAATTGTTTAAACGTTAAAAATTTTTAATGTTATTATACGAGAGCAGACTGATAAGTAATACATTTTATTTCATAGCTATTAGATTTAAATCAAATTTTCATTTTTTTTTTTGTGCATTTATTAGTTTATGTTGTTGGTTTAGTATACGCAGAGATACGATGGCGTAATGTCATTATTTTATTATAATTTATAATAAACGCAATATATAATTTCTGGCCCTTCAAACGTGCAATTCAAACAGCGTGCTGTTATTGCATTTTTCATCGTAGAAACCTCGCGTACTTTCAAACCTTATTCGATGTTTGCGTTTATCTTTATTATAATTCTAAACGTTATTTTAATATTTTGTTTTATGTTTAACATTCTAATTAAGAACAAAATTATGAACATCAATAAAATTAAACATAAGCATTATAATTACCTAGTCTATATACAGAAATATATTATTATTGACTAATAAATACCTATACCTATTAATATTCCATTTAAAAAATGATAATACAATATTATGAAAAATATCGAATTTTTTAAACTGAAATTTATCAATTTTAAATTGATTATACTATAAGGATAAAAAAAATTAATAAAATTAAAATTTTTATTGGAATGATATTATTAGAGTTGTAGATAGATATAGCGTTAATAAAAGCAGAAACAATATTTTTAATAAATTAATTTGTAATTATTTTCCTATTAGATCACAATATTTTAATAAATCTCATTAATTCGATAAAAGTAAAAACTCGTCTCCACTGTAGAATTTACAGCTTTTTAATGTTATATAGTCATATAGACATACAGTAATGGTTAGGTTTTTTCTGCCAAATCAACTTCGAAATAAAATTATTCTTGGTGGTTTTTTTTAAAACTCAATATTTATATATTAGAAATAAAAATATCGTTGTTTAATTAGTTGACACTATTTAGATTTGTATTTTGAACACTTTAGAACTTAATCTTGATCTAACATTATCCAGTGTAAAGTAGACCGGCTCAACGATTGGCCCGATTACTATTTACATAGTTTACGAACATACATACAATGAGAGGGGGGCAGAACTTACATCTTCATCTCTGCCAAAATTTCAACGTAAGTCCAACGTACGTTCACTTGTATCCGTTTAAAATGTCATCAGTTTTAAAAATTCAGACCCACTCAGTTTTGTTGATGACATTATAAACAGATAATAAGTAAAAAGGTATTTACTAAAAAATAATCGTGTAAGCATAGAAAGTTATTCCAATGACGGTGATCCAAGCTTGTGCGAATGTAATTCTACGATTGCTTACGTCTCGATATTATAGACTATATAGTTACGGTTATTATTATTTTATTTTTTTTTCATCACCCTTTTCCTAGGTACCTACCCACCACGCGCAGTTCACCAGTATCGTGTATACCTTCAAACGCACTCGTAAATAACAATAATAAAAAAAAAAAGATACTACAAAATTATTCCGTACACAATATGTGCACAGTATTACATACACATAACACGCGCACCGCGCGCGCGTACACACATATTCACAGAACTTGTAGTATAAAGTATACGTCAGCGGGGGGCGCCTATACACAACAGGTCGGACACGATCATTTTATTTTGTCCTCTGGAGTGTCGAAAATTCTATGTGTTCGATCGCCGTGGGTTATTTTTCGAGTGGTTTATTTATTATACATTTATCATGGTTTATTATTATTGTTATGTCATTATATACCAAACGTATATCAGGCTATTATTTTTCAATTTGATCCAATCCAACTCCCTGTGTGTATATAAAATATAAATATACGAATTCGATGCATTCGCAATTGGCCGATAAGAAACGTGGGAAACACTGTTCGGACGTTGCAATATTATTATCGTTACAGTCACCAGCGGTAAAAACACGTATAAACATATGTCTATAAGTTCTTTAAATAGGTACAACTATAGTTGTCCATAATATTCCAAGCGGATATAACGTTTGATCACAAATTATAAGATGTGTAATTTATTTAATTTAGAGTATACCTAGGTAGTAGGTACTAAAAATACGTACAACTTAATAAATTATTTTTGTAGAAAATAATATGTCGCCAAAAATATTGGGTAAAACCCGTTTCCCAATGGAAAGCGGTATTTAATGAATAAATATGACATTATACAAAACAGTATTATGGATTAAAATAATTTGAGAACGTTCACTTATTAAAACTAAACGGTGTTTCATAGACGAAATATTTATAATATTAATGTGCATCTTCACGTGACTATGGTTCATTATGTCGTTTATAATAATATATTATAAAAGACGTGCGGTTGCTAACAGCGCGTTATTATACATAATATTATAATATTATGTAAACGCGGAGGCGCCAGGTGAGAAGGCGTTGTACGCGATTGCGGGCTCGATAAAGCGGTCAATGAAGATTATAAGAGACTATTAATGTCATTAATTAATTGGTGTGAAGGTTTTAATATATTACATAGTATAATGTGTGTGTGTGTACCTTTACGTCCATTGTATTTTAATTCAGCATCATAGTCCAAGATTATAGAGCAGAAGACAGCGTTGTACGTTATGTGTTTATTTCTTTCTCCTTTCAAATATTTCCATCTCCGTGTTTAATTGTTCTCTAATGAACTCGTCAATGGCTAATGTGAACTATTGTATAAATGGTAATAAATAACCACGCCGCTGTGAACTGTCCATAATATTTATATACATAGATGTAAGTACCTATTCCATCTACCCACTTGTACTCAAGATTAGAAGTTTTAAATGAAATATAAAATATATGTTTTATAATATACTCTTATTAAATGCACATAATATTATTTGGTGTACAGTCTTATTGTTTACTCATTTTTACTTAATCTTCCATTGAATATGGACTATCGATCACAAGTTATAATGCATACATGAGAAATATCTTCAAGACCAAACGGCAAGCCCAGATTTAGGGGAGGGGCAGAGAGACAAGACCTACAATGGATATCTAACTATAATAGTAAGCCCCTGGTGGTTTGTCTTTTTTTTTTATTATTAAATCAGAAATATTTGGATAAAATACATTAACATTTCCAATAAGCTATAATATAATATATTATGTTATTATTATGCTATCGAAATATCAACAATATTAACTATTTTTAGCAAAATGATATTGTAAGAAAATAGGATTTTTAGGAATGGACCAAATGCGATAAGTCGGTGAACACTATTGATTACGGATTTATGACGATTGAAACATAATTATTAATTATTATTTATTAGTTTATTACTAACTACTAGGAACTAGGTATTATAGATTTAGCTATAAAACTGTTTTTGATAAATTTAAATAATTAATATTAAAAATTAAAAATAATTAATTATAATTTGATTTCTTAATTTTTTTTTTATTAAATCAAAATTAAAAATTATATTTCTATACATTTTGACGTTAACTAATCAAATATTTAACTGAAGTTGCTTGTAAAATACTAAAAGTTTATATTTATTATCTATTACCCACAAAATCTCAATATTATCGAAGTACTATTATTTATACATTTGACAATATTTTGTTCGCAATCGTGTCGTTTTTAGCGATCGTACATCATCGAGCCCAGAGCGGCCAAAGTTGTTTACCAAGATATTACGTTAAGACATTCAAAATATTTTTTTAAAACAATCACATTTTATCTGATTATTAGTATTGTTATTTTTGCAATTGTACCATGATATTAAAAGAACAACAATATTCTAAAAACAGAATGTCTGCGATATAAGTTATAAATAGTAATTATTGAAGTTAAATAAAAAAAAGTTACTTATTATGTATTTAATAACAGTGCTGTTTATTTTATTACAATTTTTTCAAAATTTAAATGGTTCATGTAATTTAATTATAAGTGTCCTGTGTTGGGAAAGGTTGGAGGACCTTTAATTGAAAACTAACTTATATCATAATTTATTCACAAGACAATATATATTATATAATAGGTAACCTAACCTATACATATCCGAGCTAATCAAAATGTTTATTTTATGTACTTACGATAAAAAATTTACTTGCAGTGTAATATTGATTGTTGATATTGACGTATATTATTTATTTTAAACATAAAAATTTAAATTTTTATAAAACAGCGTTGATTTTAGATGTTGTATTATATAGGTAGTTATTATACTTAGAATAACGAGCCGTGATAGTATAATGAATACTGGGCGTTTCACAAAGAATGAACTGACTTTAGTTTAAGAGCAGAATTTCACTCGACTTTATTTCTTATTCTTTTAAATCTTCGCGCAATTGCCAACATATCACTCTAAGAGTGACTGATGAGTTCAAATCGACTTTATCAGTAATAACATTTCTTTAATTCCATCATAGCGATTTAACAACCACGATAGATACTGTTCATACCAGATATTATGCTAAAGTGAGTTAGTCCACTTTAGTAGGAGTTTGATTACGGTCTAGATTTCATTTATATTATGGGGGGCAATGGGCATAGACAAAAATTGTAGGATTTTTGGGTATGAATATATCTGTTATCAATATCAGTCGAACAAATAATATTAGTTCATTATTGTTTATTCGCGAAACGCCATGGGTTACCTATGGCAGTCACGGCGATGTAAATATTGTTTACTCGGTTTACATCGTTCGGTTGTTGAACAATCAAAAAACAAGATTTCTATTTACATTAACACTATGCAACTTACGCTGTCTTAATGTAATACGAGCATAAATCCCACTTGAACTAAATAAAAAAAAAAAAATCTGAGCTCGTTAAATACAACTCGAAAACGACACGAAAAGAAACACAACGAAAATAACCGTACCACGGCGACATCATCGGCGGTGGCACCGTCGACGGCGACGGTGACATCGACTAGACAACCCGTTAACCCGTAGATCGAGACCCGCGCCATCGATATCACCGTTGTCCGCATCGACTTCGTAATCGTCTTCGTGTAGAGTCGTCGTCATCGGACGCTATGACTTGCTGCGCTCCAGATGGCGACGAAATGTTTCTGATGCCTCTGAAGAAGAGCAGACACCTGCCCTATCCGGGCGACGGTCAACCGCTGCGGGAGGGGCGGTGCGGCGACACGGGCCCGGACAAGTGCAGTGCGCTCAGGTCTCTCAGCCTATGCGCGGCAGAAGACGACGACTACCCGGCATCAAAGCCGGCGACCTGCCCCGAAACGTGTTTCGAGGACTCGGTGGAGTGGCAGTCGACCAAGTCGACGGCGGCGGGCCTGTTTCGAGCCCTGGGCCGACATTACGACGAACCGTGGTTCCCGACCGTGATCAACGAATGGTCAGCTCTGTATTACCAGTGCAGTCACACGTGCGATTACTGGCGGGACCGAGACGAGTGGCTGGCCGGCGACGAGGAGGTTCGGTTGACCGTGTGGTCCGAGGTGCTCAAACACAGAGAACAGCACAAGAGGCAGCTAGGGCAATCGCACCATAGCGTGTTCTGCGACACTGACGAGTACAACCCGAACGCCGACCTGATGAACGTGCACGACGGATGCGCCGTTGAGGTTCGTATACGACAGTTCGGTATTATTGTTTTACTTATAGCTGGGGTATGTGCGAGTCAGGAGGAGGGGTGCAATGCACTGGAGCCTTAAGGCCGAATTTGTTTTAGGGGCCTCAGATTGATTTCATAAACTTTGACCAACTTTGAAAAGTAGTAAATTTTTTAGAACAACAAATTATGGTCTAAAAAATAATATTTAAAAAAAATTATCTACACCCTATTATACTAGACCGTTATAAGTACATTCAATTTTTTCCCTTTTCGTATTTATAAGAACGCACGAACAAAGAGTAAATATAATTTAATGAGTATCCAGTTCAAAATAAATATTTTAATCTAACTTTACTTTCATCAAACATCAAAAAATATATAGTTAATTATTTATATATATATATATAATATACAAATACAATATACATTATACATATATATATATTATATTTTATTATTTTATATAAGTATATAACTAATATATGATATGACTAAATTATAAATAGCAATTTTTGTTTTTTAATTGGCCTCTAATTATAGGTAGTTGCATCATGGCGTCACTTTGATCTACTATACGAGTTTTCGATCTGGCACGGTTCAGTATTATAATTATCGTTATTTTATTGTTTGATTATGATGGCTTATGATGGAGTTTGTCTATTGGGTTTTTTTCTTTTCTTACATTTCTATAATAAGAATTGAGGGCCAATTTTTTTCAAAATAATTCAAATATTTGACTCTGGTAAACCATACTAAATATTTAAATTTTTTGAAATGGCAAAGTAATTAATCAATAATTATTTTTTTGAAAATATTTTCATGTTTTTTTACTAAAAATACGTATTAATATAATTTGTTTTTGTTATTAGAAAATAATAAACTATTTGTTAATTATAAAAAAAATTGAAATTTTGGTGGTTTTGTTTTCTTCATGTCGAGGGGAGATGAAAAATTCTTTTTACTCCTAAAACTTAAATATAAGAGCTGCCCGTAAAAATCAAGTTTATTGTTGTTAATTTAAACTCCTTAAATTATAATTAGCAATGCAATCGGTGTAATAGCAAAAGTCATATAAAATCATTAAAATTGAAAAAAGTTCCTGTACACGCACCTAAAATACAATAATACAAGTTACTAATTTATGTGCTTTGAATCGTTATTGGACATACGGTCAAAATCTACTAAGTTCTATATTATAATCTTAGTTATTACCATCATATTATAACATTATCTGTTATTTAATATAATATGATTTAACAGATAACAGAAACTCATGGATCCCTAAACAAAGCTAATGATCGATTCGATCTACAACATAAGAATGTAGAACAGTTCTGTGAGGAGAATTTGCCATTCACAGACGAGAGCCCACGGGCTGAAGCTGAGGCGGCTGAAATAGCTCTTGCAGACCCAGACGATAACCCTGATTGGGTGCAAATGCGACGCAAGATGCGCGGCTCGTTCGCAGCGCTGAATGTGGCTCGATACGAAGTCAGTGCTGAGCTACTGAACCACATCATGATTGAGCTGTGCAAATACTGGACTAACGCGCCTGAAACTGAAAACTCTAGTTTAATTGAACAGCAATTGGAGCGGAACATCATGCGAGAGATTCAAAACTTCCGATTTAAAGTGTTCGATGTGGCTGTCGGAATCGAACCGGAAATACAGCAGCTAGGTCCGGATGCATTTCAAGAGCCGGAACCTTGCCAAAAGTCGGAATCCTACCGGGAGCCAGAACCTTACCAGAAGCCAAAACAGTATCGTAAACCTGAACCTTGCGAAAAGACAGAGCCGTATTTGCCACCAGAACCGGAACCATGTTGCCCACGGAAGCCAGAATCTTGTCGTTTGCGGGAGTCGGAACAGTGTTCCCCACGGAAACCGGAATTATGTCAAAATCCGGAACCTTTTCTAAAGCCGGAACCATGCTGCCCGAAGAAGCCGGAGCTATGCTGTCCACAGGGGCCAGAATCGTACTGTTCACAGAACCCTGAACCATGCTGTCCACTTCAACCACCTAAATCTAAGTGCTGTACCCCAAGACGGTCTACCAAAACAAAGTTGGCTGAAGCCCGAGCTCGGCATAACGCTATACAAGTTCGGGACCGCGATATCACAACTGGATGGTTAGGTGGGAACCCTCATCAATAAATCTTATATATTTTTTATTTAAACATATGTGTATATTAAATATACGATATAATATAATTTTAAATATAATATAATTAATTCAATAATTAGTGTTTGCTTTAAGTGCCAGATCGAAATATTTCCAAAATTCAACCTCATTATTCACCCTTCACGATAAAATAATGTTCCAATGTATTTGTGTTTCTTTACCATTATACAGTCGATACTATCTATAACAACGGTCAATGGACTGTAAAATATACGTCGTTATAACCAAATTTGATTTTTTTTTTTTTTTTTTTGATACATAAACCTAACGATATATTATTGAAAAAGAAAAGACTTTCGTTATGTTAGTGGTGATTGCACAAACACATTTTTTGAGTATTTAGCTAATATTATTTTTTTTAATATAAATTTTATAAAACAAAAGAATTGTTGTATTTTATGTATTCATATATTGTTTAAGAAAATTATACATATTTTATTGACGGTATGTAATTAAATACCCTATTTATAGTATATATTCATAATATATAGATACCAATTACCAATAGATACAATTAGTGTTTCGGTTAACAATTTAGCCCAATTTACGCCACTTATAATAACAGTGTGAAGGTACCCATCTATGTAGGAGGTAATTTAACCAATACTATAAAACGATCATCTGTGAAAATAATAATATATAGTTGTTATATACGAAAACAATGTGTGTAGTGGGCGGTGGCCCGATTTTTAAATCGTATTAGCCGATATTGTCGTTGACTCGTTGTAACCAGTTATTTTGTATGTATATTGTATAAATAAACAAAATTTTGCTGGGTCGTTATATTCTACATGTCGTTACGGCCGGCGTCGTTATAGATGATACTGACCGCGTACTTAGATTATGGTCCAATAATGTTAAACTAGACATTTGTCAGATTATTAAGTTGGTACATACTTTCAGAAAAAAAAAAGTTCTCTCGCATTAGACAGTTCAGTTTAGCATTGACGTACATAATAAACTTTTATATTAGTGGGTTTTTCATCGGTGAAAAAATCCTAAACTGTGTACAATTAATAGACTTTATAAAGTTCCTATTTATAACGTTCTAAAAAAAATTGTCAAGATTGTAGGAAATTTTGGATAAAAATAAAATTTCCTACATTCAAAGGCCTATTTTTTTTATAGTTACATAATCTTTGGAGAGGTTTGGGAGTTAGCCGACTACGGACTAATAGTGTTCTTCTTGATATTATAATATGGTCTCTGATATAAGTGCATAACACATTTTATTTGAATTTTGAATAAATATAAACAACAATCATTTATAATGAGTCAAAAACAGAAAGAAAGAGAAAAATTACAATAATTTACAAAAGAACAAAGTATTAGATATTAAGTTAAAATTAAAAAAATAATTACATATTATTTAAATATTATACCAAAAAAAATATAATTTTTCTTTACATATTTGTAATTATAATTTAATAATGTTATTATACTTCTTCAAATATATATATATATATATATATTAAATGTATCAGTAAAAATATTTTGTGTCTTACGATAAGACAGAGCCGCAGTTTGTTGGCCATACTTACAGACTGCAGTTATACGTGTGGGGGATGTCATGTTGTAGAAAAAAAATTAACACACTCGTTTAGCGGCTACCGGGGGGTTACCCATTTGCACCAAAAATATTAATTCGTTTTGAGTACAGGCGGCACAACCCGTTTGCGCCAAAATAAAAAAGGTATATTTTTTCCGACAACCCATTTGCGCCAAATTTACCCGCGCAAACATTTTACATTAACGAATTGATTATTTAAAATCGTACAATTTATTACGATTACCTACCGCCGATAGCTTATAATTTCCAAAAAATATAAACTTATTAACTATTTATTACCTACCTATTGTTTAAAATAATTTGTATTATTATTTATTGTTTATAATTAAAAAAAAATTCGTATTATTAACTATAATTTAAACAAAATTGTATTGATTATTATTTGAAGAAAAAATATATTACTTTATTATAATTATATCAGGTAAATTTGGCGCAAATGGGCCGTCGGTTCACGGTTGAAATATAACTTTTTTATTTTGGCGCAAAAGGGCTGTACCTGAAATTAATTAATTTTTTTTTTTTGTCGCAAATGGGCGATGCCCGACTATCGTTACCTCTTATTTAAATTGTATTTAGTAATTTATTTAAACATATTTACATATTATATATTAATTTTCTATTCAACGGTTAGGAAACAATAAAAGAAGATAATTTTGCATATGTTCCTATATTTAGTCATTAGAGATATTTTGTTTGTTTAATTATTTATTTATACTATTATAATATTATTTTTCGCGCAAGTTATCAGGCGATACGGGTTTATATATATAATATACTTTAATGACATATCCGTGATCTGTTTTCTATGAGTTCAACGGTCACAATACGGTGCGATATTTCGGCGATGGCGGAGTCACTAGAGAACCGAAGAATCAGTTACCCGTGCGACCTTTGCTTGAGAACATCTCGTCGCGACTGTCAACGTTGTCGCCGCAGACTCGGTTCGTTATTTTTGTCACGCCCAAGTACGTACGGTCGCATTAAAACCATCATCCTTCTAGTCGGTTTTTTGTTTTGTGCGATCGTATCCCTACACTTATCGCGTCATAAGTCGTCTTGCGTCCTGAGTTGTACACATACAATATATACATCGTACTCCGCGGTCTTCGCAGTACGTAAAACTCACGGACGTAGGTAGGAAATATTTTTTATTTGTTTTAAAACGTTGATCCTATCGGCGGTGTAGGTATCGAAGTCGACTGACTGTTCAATTTGCAGGAGCCTCGTGAATAAACAATTATCATTACTTATGCAGTTATGTTCTATTTAATAATATAAATAATTAGCTTTCAAAAAGTTGTGGGCTTTTACAAATTACAACTATATAAAGTATAGACATTATACTTACTTATGTGTAGTTGAAATAGTTGAATATAGTATTACTTATTTATTAACCAGTTATACAGAAAGTTTTTTTATACTCTTATAATATGTAATGATTTTACCCTGTACTCTGAGTAATGAATAAACGAGTTACGAGTACCTTTTTACATATTTAAATTAAAAATATTCATAATTCAATTAAAAATTAAAATACCCTAAATAACAGTCTTACAAATATTGACAATATTCTTACCTTAAAGGTCAAACTTGAATAAAAATTAAATATTTAAGTCGATGACACAAAATTAATTTTACTATACTCAAGTTTGTTAGGTATTTTATATAATATATGTACAGTTGTAAAATGGAGACAATGATGCGTGTGTGAGTATGTGCCATTCTCATAAGACTATAAGTGGGTCATTAAATATTTCCGTAGTAATCTTCATTATAATAATATGCCTAACCATGTATCCAAACAATTATTTTACAAGAATAATCCTTCCTGGAGAAAAATATTATCTCATTAAATTTAAAATTAGTCTAAATAATAATACATATTGGTGATATTACGCGAGACGCGAGTGGGGCCTTAATTTGTGAGCGATGCTGTTCTACAGAACTAAATCCCGAGTTACTCCACTGAATAGTGTTTATGTTTATGATCTCTAAGATATAACTTTAATAGTTCAATATATATACATATATAATATTTGTAATTTAAACATTACCAAGTCCAATAATTTAATATCTATTTTTAAATGTAAAAAATAATTTTTTAATTATGTTTTAGATCTGTATTTAATATACATATTTTGATAGTTTAAGTTCTTATTATGTCAGTAAATTATGATAAACATTGGTAATAAATTAATAACTAATAAATAATAATTATTAGTCCATTTTTATTTTATTTAAAAAAAAATTGTTATGTATTTTATTATTTACTCTTTAACAAAAAATAATATTTAGCAATAATCTATAGTTCTTCCTAACTATTAAATTATACCTATATTTGTTTATTTATTTTTAAATCCTTATTTATATAAAAAAAAAAAAAATGCTATTAATTAATTGTAATGTCGACTTTTTTTAAAATTAATATAGAATTTTAATAAAATTCTATTTTATTTATTTTGCTATAGTAGCTATAACAATGAATAAAATATAGTACTGTAATAAAATGATTAAAATGTTAATGTATTTAGAAACTTCGTATGTTATCGAAACGGTGACAAAACTAGTGTGTGCTTAATATTATGTTCTCGAACACTACATACACACACACTATTGGATATAAGCACTAAGCAGCTATTGTCCGCCGTGTAAAAGCAGTTTAAACAGTCTAATCGTAGGTAAGGTTAAAAAAATAGGCATGAAAAATGTGTGAAGTTTTCCGTATATATTTTAATTTTTTTTTTGAAAGTTGACTATATAAATACGACTGTTTGTTTTATTTTTAAATTATTAAATTTATTTGCATCTATGTTTTTATCACTGAATATTTTACTAAAACAAGTTTAAATAATTCAGGCGTATGGGACAAAACTGTAGTTGCTAATTAATAATTAGTAATTGGCAATAAAGAATATTAAGGAAAAACGTTAATATACAATTTATTATATATTAGCATACAGTTTTATTTTACATTTAAAAACATTAGTATTAATTTAAAGAAATGTATTAATAAAGCAAAATACAATAATATTACTACTTAAAAATCTTTTTATGGCTGGTTTTATATTTTACAATATTATAAAAGTACAAGTACAACATTATATGCAGAGTGCCTAAAGATACAATAATAAACCGGTAAATGTCACATTGAATAAACTATATAAATAATAAGTTAATCTAAAATCTAAATAAAATAATTTCAAAAGAAAAAAGAAATAATTGTATACAATTATAATTTTAAAATAAGTCATAATAACACTATAATAAATAAGTACCTAAATATACCTTAACCTAATATACATTGATGTTAATACTTATAAATTAGTTTGTATTATTGTTGCAGTGATTAAAATTTATAGTAACGAGCACAATTATTAAGTTCAATAATAAGAAATAAGATGTAAAATATGAATATGAAATAAAAATATTTTGACATAAACTTAAGTATGCATTTTTATTAACTTAATTAACCAGTAATCTTAACATTTTAAATAAATTCATTGGGTTCCAGCAGCGGTCAGTCTTCTACATTCCTTGGCTACTTCTTGTATCAACTGGTACATTCTTCTAAAATAAATGTATTCATTTAAAAAAAAGTGGACAAATGGATAATATTCTTTTGTAGAGTATGAGTTAAATAGGTCTCTTGTAATGGAAATGTTAAATTTTATTTAAAAATGATGTTTTATAATTTTATTGTGACATTAAATGATTCTTAGTGGAGATCGTCTACTTTGCTAGCCTATACAATCACTAGGTAAGTATATTTCATATATTTCTGATATATTGCTATTGGTATTACTGTAGATTGATTTATTTTTTTCGAAAACATGTCATTTATTGTATTATTAATAATACTCATAAATTTATAGGTATTTTATTATATTATTATAATTAAATTTTGAAAATATTGTTTCTATTATAATACAAATAATAATTTACTACATACGTAAGAGTTTCTCATAAATAATGTTTTTGAATTACCCATAAAAAATAATAACTTTTTTTAGTTTTAATATATATTACTTACAAAAAACCTAATTCAAAATATTTAAGTCTTGGCTATAAAAATTGAAAATTATATAATTTTTAACTAAAATAATTTGCAAATTTTTGTAATTTTGACAAATTTTGTTAAAATTTTAACTACAAATAGTTCTAAAAAAAAAAAATAATCATACACATCTTTGATATTTTTTTATTAGTATATGAACAATTTATGAGAAATCTTGTATTACATTTTTAAGCTTTTTGACCTGACAAACATTTTTATTTGCATTTAAAAAAAAAAACAAAAAAAACTGAAATAAATCAAATATTTTAATTATCTATAATGAGCTCAAAAACAGTTAAAATACTTCCCATTATTATTACAGTAATATTAGAAATCTGTAATTAACTCAGACTAGGTACCTCTCTGTATTTATATTATATTATTTTGATTTAAAATAAATCATATTTTTACATAAAAAGACTAGGTATATCAATAAACATACCTAAACTTTGTTCTTGAATCCAAATGAATAATAATTGAATATTGTTATTACTTTAGCCACCTAATTAAGTATTCAAAATTTTACAATCATAAGAAAAGTAACTGCAGTAGAGAAAATGTAACGTAATCAATTAATTGTGATTATATATATATAAAGTGTATGAGTATGACCAATAATTTGAATAATATATTATTTTAGTTATGTAAGAAAACCTATGCAATCAACTACAATATTAAACATTACAATTGTCTGTGCTTATCTACTACCTACTTATAATAATTATTTTTACCTAGTATTCTTTAAAAATAATATGTATCTATCATCTATGTAATATGAATATAATTTATTAACAAAAGAAAAATGAGTTTAATTTAGTCATAATAGTTAAAACACTACAATAAAAGTGCCAAAATGTTTTATGGTTTTAGATTATAAATATAAATTAAATATTATGTTATAATTTATGACTAAATTATTTTTACCAATATATAATGAAGATATTTGAGAAGTACTTACTTAATATTAAACAAAACTAAAATCACCTATCAAGACTATTTGGTAAGTTTAGTTCATACAAAATGAAGTTAGTAATTAAATTAAATTAAATTTTTAAAATAGTTTTTATATTATTTATTAATTATTACCTACCTATTTATTATTATATATTATTAACGTAGATTATAAAATATTTTTTTAGATTAATATGAGTAATAATAAAGTTAATTATGGTGTTGTAGTAGGTATAAGAATAATTCTAATAGATTTTTTTGATAATCAATTAATACGAAATCAACTAAGAATGAAAATTTAGTTAGTTTTTATTTTTTATTTTTACTAATCAAATTTTTAAAATCCTCTCAAACGTTGTAAAAACAAAAACTACTCTTGTAGGCTTCTCAGTTTAATTTAATTTTAAATTTATTAATAACTTCTCAAAAGATTTTTAATTTATGTTACTATTGTTACCTAAAAATTTATGAATTATTATATTTTTACCAACTAATATTTTTAAAGAAGTTGGTATAAATCGAAAAAAATTTTTAGTTAGGTTTTTAATCCTTTCAATTTACTTACAAATAAAATGTATAGATTTAATCATGGCAAGGGCCGGTCAAAATATTAATTTCCCAGGCTGAAATGTTGTCACAGTCTTTTTTTAATTACATACATTGTATATGAAATATTCAAATAAATCTCTTACATCAAAAAATAAGCCATATCAATTAATTGGATAAAATAAAATGATAGTAATGACCTATAATCTTAACAAGTCATTAAAAAGATTAAAGAATTAATAATTCAATATCATGTGATACTATGATAGTCCCATATAGTCTTATAGTATTATACAATCTCTTAAAGTCTCAGTTTAATGGAACAAAATAAAAAAAATATCATTTCACACTTTTAGAAGTCATTTGATTTTGATAAAATTAGCCCTTGTTTACTTTAAGACCTACTAAAAAATTCTAATATTCTTCTAACACATGTAAATGACTATATTATGATTTGAATGTGTTTTAGATTAATGGAAAAAGACACAAGTGATCATCATACTACTAAAACCAAAGGTAAGCTATTGGATTAAACTATCTCATACAGACCAATATTGTTCATCTCAAGCATGTCAAAGCTTTACTAAAAGCTTATTCTTGGTCGTTTAAAACTAGTAATAGTAGAAAAATATCTCATATCAAACCATATTTAGTTTGAATTCTGAAATAAACTTTTAACCATTGACCAAATTCTTTGTGTAACAAACTGATAAACAAGAAAGAAAATATTACTCATAACATCTTGACGTATTTTTAATTATATATACCTATATATATATATGAATATATTTGTATTCATATTATACATTATTGATTGATTATCATGTATGTACCCATTATATATTGTATTTATAGAGACCTTTGTTTGATTAAATAAATATGTCTTTAAAAAAATAATCTAGTTAAAAAAAATAAGAATAACCTTTCAAATAGTTTGTATTTTAAATATTAAAAATATGAATAAAAATAAACCTTTTGTTTATTTAAATATAAACTACTTTGTGAAATTTTAATTAAGTATATACCTCATCAGTTGTAGTAGATGCACTAGAATTATCGTTGACATATGGTCCTTTTAAATTTGAACATTTTTGAGCCACTTTCTCTGTCAACTGAAGCAAATCTTCCTAAAATAAATTTATTAAATTAAATTAAATTCAAAAGTACACCTAACACTTTCATATTTCTTACTTATAATAGTATTGTGCCTATTGTTTAAACAACATAGAAAATTTAATATCTTACATACATTTATGTTAATTTATTATTTTATTTTGTAGCAACAAAGTGCTAAGAAATTATAGTTTAGTAATTAGGTAAAATAATACTGTTCTATAATAATTACATATTTAAAAAATTTTGTATTTTAATTTTTTGAAATAAAAATAAAATGCCTTTTATTTATTTAAACATAAACTATTTTGTTGGTTTTTAATTAGGTACATACTTTTTCAATTGTATTAGATTCAATAAGTTCCTCGTTAATCTGCATGTTACTCATATCTAGGTTTGAACATTCCTGAGCTGCTTCTTGTACCAACTGATGTATTTGTTCCTAAAATAAATGTATTCAATATACACACTTAGAAATATATATTTTAGAATTTTGACATTTCATCCACATAATATTAAATAAATAGAAAATTTAAATATTTTAAACAAAATAGAAAATGTAATCGATTATAGCCAATAGTATATTAATACTGACATTTTTGTTTATAGCGTTCTACCGTTCTATCATTGTTTGGTACCTATCTAAAATGGTTTGTATTCTAAATTTTACAAATATGAATTTAAATATTATTATTGAAATATACTCTTGTACAATTATTATTAGGATGTTAACTAGATAAGTACATACTTCATTGGTGGTATTGGATATATTACATTCTACATGTTTCTGCAGAACTTTTGTGTTTGAGCATGCTTTTGTTGCTTTTTGGAATAATTGTGGAAATTCCTTGTTATGATTTTCTTTAAGACTAGAAATTGGATTTTTCTGTTCCAACTTATCCAGTATTTCTTCAATAATTTCATATTTGTTATCATCTTCTGTAGGATCTGTAAATAAATTTAATAAACAAATAACTAAATTGTTATTAAATACCTACTATTAATTTATTATTTTAGTACATTATTGGTATTATCGTATTACTTGAAAATATAGATAAATCAATTTTGGCTTTGACACTGACATTGACATTGATATTAGTTTTCTTTTGTAAGTTTCTTAAAATCGTTTCTCCACAGCATTCTGTAGCAGTTTTTCTTTTTTTTGCTTGAGCATTGACTTCAGAGACCGATTTTGTTTTACTTTTTAATTGAATTAAATATTGTTTATAACTCAAGGAGTAAATGTTGTTAAAATTTATAGGTAAATGTATAGCTTCGTAATAAATATTGTGATTCATTTGAAATTCTATTACATCTAACCCCTCATTCCATTTATTTGTGTCATTAATCATTAACCAAGTATCAAGCATTTGGCTAATAATTTTGTTAATATCTTCTATGGGAGTGGGATTCTTATGATGGTACATTTTTATATTTTTATGAAACATTGTAATGTTTATACCTAGATGGTATAAATAACATACAACTTGATGAGTGAATATTTTATCTTTTTCACATTTTAATATGCATGGAATTCCTAAAGTTGAAAATATTCCGACCAATACATTTGCCACTTCTCTTGCATTTGTGCTCGTTAGAGGTCTTAGCATAAAACGCTGTATGTCGAGGTCTTGATAAATTAATATAAATTTGGAAATTCTATCGGTACGATTTTGGTTGTCGACAAAATCAATACGACATACAGATTTCATTTTAATGAGTCTAATAACAAGGAATGTATGCTGTTGCAATGGTTCTCAAACTGCTATTGGTGTTCTGTACGTTTCTGTAAAACTTAAAAATATGAGCCAATAACGCACTAATAAAGAAAAAATGTGTATACAGTAAATAATTTTATTATAATATACAATATACAAGATACTATATTCTATAATAATTTATGTAGATAGATACGTACAATAACAGTGAAAAACTTCAGATAGAATAAAAATATAATTTTAAATCCATATAACCTTCACTAGAACTACCATAAACGAGACTAAAATGTATAGTTAGATTAACAATACTCCCTAACATTTTCCTTACTTAACCTTTCGGTATTATTAATAACAAAATTAAAATTAAAACAAACTATTAGTGAAGAACATTGAATAGATACATGATTTTTACACTACCATTAATTTCTCTTTGAAATTCTAAGAAATTGTGCTGTAAAGTGTTTGTATAATTGTATCTATTTAGTTATCAGTTGATAAAACTGTACTTAAGTATTGCTTTTGGATCTCTTTATGCTACGATCAAAGCGGTTAAAACTCTTTTATAGTAAAATAGAAAACCTTTAGGTGCCTTTATAATTAATTATTTAAAATGTTTATGAAAAACAATGACTTAATAATAATTTAAATAATCTATAAGTTAAGTTTTAGTTCTTAAAATGTTTCATTGTAATTTTATAGTAGTTATACGTATACATAATTAGCTGTACCCGTACGGCGTAGCTCATAAAAAGAAATGCAAGTAAAATATTCTTTAAATTTTCATTTTCATTATTTTTTTTTTTTTTACTACTCCCACTGCATCGCTGCTGCAGTGAGAACGATATTCATTTAGTGTGACCACTCAATAGAAATAAATGTTAATAAATAATTAAAAATAAGCATCTGATACTGTAGTTCGATCTCGAGACTCTCTTTATTAAATTATAATGTGTCACTGCATTAGAGGATTTTTAGTACTCGGCGGTAATTTAAAGGCTATTTAAATAGTTATATACTCTACGTCTTTGAGGCACACATTTAATTGTATCATAGAATTATATAAATATTATCAATCGAATTGAGAAATGATATGAATAAATTATACGCATAAATTTTCTTCGGTTAAACGCCTATCCAACAGTGTAAATCGCATCAAAATCCATTCAGCCGTTTTGGAGTTCGAACAAATAAAAAGCGACTTCATTTTATACTACGTAATAATATTATGTATTGATGATAAGCAGACATTTCAAATACTAATGAATATCTACTGTTTTTAAATGATTATTGTTCATTGAAATAGGTACCTATCCCATATACATTATGAAATAAATTTGAAGGTAGATATCTATTGAAATTATATTTAATGTTTGATAAAAATCAATATTAATCTATACAGTATATTGTATTCGCTATTTCGCTAAGCAATATACCTATATACATAATTTTTCTAAAAAATAGATACCTATGTAATTAATCTATTTTCCTAAATTTAAGTATATTACCTATATAATATAATATTTATGTTGAATACACGAGTACTGTGAGGCACCGATGCCAGTTTCAAATGTTATTGCATAAAAATAAAATCTGAGATAAACATAACGGTGAATTTGACATTTGTTACACTAAAATATGGGACAAGTTTCATGTACCTCTACTAATACCCGACTATCTATAACTTCTATAACTATATTACGGACTATCTCGGCATTACCCACTTAAATTAGATATTTTTCCATTATACTTATACATAGTGAACGGCGTCATTGCAAGTATCTATCTCAGTGGTTCTCAACCTTTTTTATGCTCGCGGCGTATTTATTATAACTATACAGTTTGACAGAACACTATAGTAATAAAATAAAAAAAGCAAACAAAAAAGTCATTTTAATTCTAATTTTTGTATTAATATGTTAAATAATTAAAAATTAATGTCTAATAAGTAATAACATTATACGCACGTACCACGATCGCGGCACACCTACAGCCAGTTCGCGGCACGCGGCATAGGTACTTGTGTGCCGCGGAACACCGGTTGAGAAACACTGATATATCTAATATCTACCTAGCTATTTATGAACAGATCATTTATATTTATCATCATATTTTAATAAACTGTAATAAAATTAGGCGAAAAGCTTTGTTCTTCATAGCTGATAATTTATATCTTATTGCTAAAATTTAGAACATATTATTAGTGTATACCTTGTAGAAAAATCCTATTTATAAATTATATTCTAGAAATTAATTAAAGTTTATCGGTGTCGTTTATCTATTTTTGTGAGAGCTGATATTTGAAAAAATAAACCTACACGCGAAAAATAATTTTAAATTCTCAGAAATTATTAAAGAAAAAAAAGTCGTCTAATTTTTTAAGGATAATAATATAATTGAGCAATAAATTGAACTTGTATATTTCGTCAAAATTTAAAATTGCTAATATAGGTATACATATTATTAATAGAAAATAATATTATGCTTATAAAATAAATTTATAAAAATAAATAAATAAATACGTACACGCATGGAAATTATTTTTGTAGCTGTTAAATGTTGATGGACGATTGATGGCGGTGGATACCGAGAAAATTTAATTTTAATAATAAACAAGAGAATAATATTTGTTTTAAATAACACTGCAATAGGTAAGAAAAATAATAGAAGGGACGCGAATTGCACGTGATGCGATCTCAGACTGTAGTAGAAGACTAATGAAAAAATAAACGAATCCAACTAATCGAAGGAATTTATTTAAGCACTAATATTTACTAGTTATCTTCTTGATCATTTAAAAATGCCCATTATTGGTTTTTAAGAATACAGTAGTCTTAAAGAGCACCAACTGTTTGTTGAATCTATAGAAATACGCGTGAATAGGCGATTAAATGATCGTTACTAAATGGGTTGTTTAAAATATACTTACATTTTACATTTATTTATAAAATAGTTCTATTTGTTCGATAAAAGCATTAGTTTAACATCTGCCGTTCTAAATATTTAAGGAAATAATTAAACTAATAATGATTTGATTTCATACCTGTAAAATAACCATTAAACGCAGAAAATGTTTTTGATACAAAAATGACAAAAAAAAATCATTAAAAAATAATTATTGACAAATAAAATGTTTTTTTTTTTTTTTTTAAATTAGTCTAGTATATTTTTTTAGCGTTTTTTTTTTTTTTTTTTTTTATTGTCATACGTAAATACATGATATGAAGAACTGGTGCTACAACTTGCTCTATAACAATCGAACCAAACTAAACCTCCATATTATATTTTATACCATTGTTTAACTACCAATATCATTTAAGAAACAGAATAGATCACGGAGTCAGTTATTTTAAATAATAAAAAAAGGTTAGTCTTATTCAGGCGTGATTCCTATGCACGCGTCTAGAGACGCTCGACCGACGCGGCGCGATTTTATTTTAGCCGCGCAGATAGCGCTTTACTTGATTTTAGATATAACCGATTCCTATGACCGCGGTCACCACGCGCGGCGACGACCGCTTCGAGAGCAGTCAAATCGCACGAGCCGCGCGGCTAATAACTAATATATTATAATTCATATTTTAATTAATTTTCAAAGTTCGACATTTTTTTAACGCTGTGTGACACAAAATGTCTTCAAAAGCATTATTCACAGTAGAACTAATAATAATAATGATATTTTAAAAGACACACTTATGAATACACAAGTACAACTTAACTAAACGGAGAACTCGATACAACTGCGTGTACGTGTCTAATTATTTTAGCCGCGCGTCTTCTGACGCGTGCACGGGAATCATACCTCTAAGGTTACTACTCTATTTAATACTTAGAATCGTCTTTTTAACCAATGATGTTGGCTATTTTTCCAAGGAAATTTAATTTGTTTTACCACCGTTAGTTTCTAAACGCAACCAATAATTTTTATACAATATTCATGAATAGAATATTTTCTTGAACAATTTTATAGGTACACAGTACATATTATTATCTCTGATTGAGCCAATAATTATTATAATTTTAGGCATACGTAAACTGCGCCTAAATGATCTTTTTTTTTTGTAAACTGTGTGTTTTTTTTTTTTTGGTAAAATATACAATACTTTTGAGTTATTAAAGTCTCTATTATTGTGTAATTTTTTAATTATAATATAAAAAAAATTTTATTTTTGTCTAAAAATACCAACACATTATCGAATACCTAACTACTGTATTCTAAAACACATAAAAATA